GATAGGAGATCTGATGAAGGTGGCTGGATTCCCAGTGTTTTATTCAGTAAAAAGCCCTGCTCCAAAAAAGCAGGATCAGTCCTGTAGTCGAATAATAATACCTTTTATTTCTAACAGGCTTTTCCAATCCCAAGGATGAAAGTGTATAGTATTTAGTATTACTAGTATTAATAGTTGAGTCTATACTGTAGTTGGCCCCAACTAGCTCTGGTAGAGCATGAGACCCATGTGACAACATGTGGTGTCTGCATAGAAACACACCTGAAAATCCCATCTGTGGAGTGACACGTCATTTACTTTGCTGTTGGGACTGATACTATGTTACAGTCATGAGTGGGGTTAGATATACAGTAGATATAAATGGTGTGAAAAAGGAGGGTTGATTTGCATGTGTGAAGGAGTTGGAGGTAGCAGCAGTTGGGAGCTAGGGGCTTCACCAGATAGTCCTCAGCTGGAGCTGGTGTGCGAGAGTGAGCAGGGATGTCTGTGACCAACAGGAGGGGGGTTTTCAGGGCACTGCAGAAAAAGCCTGAGTCATCAGAAAAGAATGCTGACAATCCCCGTCCTGTTTTGCCAGGCTGTGTGCAGACTGGTACATTTCAAAGATGCTGAACCATTTGCTACAGAAAATTGCCCACCGTAAGGATGCCCTAATTTGCCAATAAAACATTTTGGCTCCTTCTTCTTTGTGTATTTTGTGAGTTTGGTGGGCTTTTTTAGGATCCCTTACATTTTTGGGGCACCTTCATCATGTGATCAGCAGAATGTGTTTTTCAAGTAGATCATGGCAAAGTTGAGGAAGATTACAAATTATAGCTTGCAATACAGCTTTCTGAACAGTGAAGACTATTCAAAGAATTCAAAAAGTTCACTCCCCAGTCTTCTTCAAAACAAGAGTAAAACATGAATCAAGGAGCATAAACAGAAGCCCTGTGAAGTGTTTAGAAAACTGAACACACATGGGCAGTTGTGTCCACAAGGAGTTGTGAAAACTGGGAACAAGCTACCCAGCCATGTTCTTGAAGCTGCCAGTATCACTTCTTTTAAGAAAAGGCTGGATGAGATAACATGACTTTAGTGACGTGATGGCTCTCAGAAGAAATTTCATCTTATATGACTCAAGACACCAAATAAGCACTATTAAAAAGACTGCTCATAGTATTTAGTCAAGGTCTGGAGGCGTCAGAGGGAAGGGGTCCCCACTTTTTTTATTAGTGTGTATAATTCAGTAGAATGATAAGCTAAGCCTTTTCAACTGCTTAACAAGGAAATCCTGTTTGTTTACTGAATTAAGTCAAATTAATGCCACATTAGAAGAGCTTGAACGATAGAAAATGATTATGATTACATAATAAGGAAATGAATGCTTCCACAAATTCTTGAAAAACTGTACAATGTTAGCTTTTTATGAGCTTTGTGCAGTTATAAAGATTCAGCTGATGAGTGATTGTTGACGTGATAGCCCTTCGCTTTTTTTCAAATTAACATCAGCTTTTTAAGAAATAAAAGGTATTTTGTCTAAATTAGAGATTTCAATGGATTTGTAACATTGCTCATACCACTGAAACCGGAAAAAAAAACATTTTGGAATCTAAACATTTCTGTGAATTCACCTTACAACACACAATATGGTCTTGAATGTTAAAAAAAAGAGGAAATGCTTGTGTTTAACTAATGGAAGCTGCATGATTTACAGACGGTTACCCCGACAATCCAGCTGTGCAGATTCAACGTCAACATTGTGACGAGGTCAGGCCAAAAATGGTCTGATTTTCAATCAGCTTGGGTGTGATATTCGCACTTTTTACCAAATAGATCTTGCCGACAATGACTACTTACTTCCAAACCAACTAGAGAGACCAAATGGATGCCTCTCATTTGTAACCACTCATAAAAAATATCAGGGCACAGTTTGTAAGGGTTTCATAAGATCATAGAAAGACACATTGGGTGGTATTTTGTTCTCAGGTGGCACTGCAGGTAACGACATCATCCCCATTTTATGTTCTTTGTATATTAGAATGGTAATACAAAAATCATGCTGTATTTACCTTTCGGTTTTGTCGCTTGAACTCCTATTTTAATTTCTTTACTGCTTATGGTGTTATTGAAGTGATCCAAGGATCTCATCCAGCTGTTTCTTGAAAGTTACTAATACTGGATATTATACCAGGATCTAGATCATTGAAATAAATTCTGAAGAGCAGCTGATCTGGTACAGATCCTTGTGTTGTTTCACTAATTGCATCATCCCACTTTGAATATTCACCCCTTATCTGTACTCAGTTTTCTATTAACCAGTTCTCAATACAAACACACACATTTCCCTGAATGCCATCTGCCTGTAATTTGAGAATTCATCTTTTATGGGGAAGTTCATCACAGGCCTTCTGAAAAATCTAAATACACCATATTGGTGTATATCTATTACTATCACTGTTGATTCAAAACACTCCAATGAGATGATGATACAAGAATGTTGCATTCTAAAACCATATCGACTATTCACTAGGATGTTATTTCCATAATATTTCCATATCCTCTAAATGAGTTCCAATAATTGTTTCCATAACTTTACATGTAATAGAAGCCATATTTCAGTATTCCTGGTACCCAAAACACTTCTCTAAAATGCTGTTTAAATAAAGAACTGTCTTCTGCTGCCTGAATGCAGCATGTTGTTAACTTACGACATCAGGAGATAACTCACTGGTTTGAACTTCTGGTTGAGGGGGGATAGCGGCACCTAGTGGCAAACAAATTCATACGAGAGCAGAACTTTAGCCAGGACCCACTATTTACATGACTATTTTTAGGAACAGTGCTCTGAGATCTTTAATGACGTGAGATGTCAGCACAATTTCTCATCTAAAGCACAAGAATAAACATACTACAATAATAAACATTAACAGAGAAATGCAGCAAAGAGAAGGATATACATCCTTCAGATGTAGTCTATCTATCCATATTCTAACTGCTTCTTCCAATTTAGGGTCTCGGGGGAGATGGAACCTATTCTGGCAAGCAAAAAGTGGAAACTAGTTCATCACAGGGCAGACACACAAAGACACATAGATACTCACACCTAGAGCCAAATTTCCCAGAAGCCAATTAATCCACCAGTATGTTTTTTGAACTGTGGGAGGAAACCCCCACAAACGCAGGGCCAACATACAAACTCCACACAGACAGCACTCTGGGCCAATAATTGACCCCAGGGCCCCAGTGCTGCAGAACAGCAACGCTAATTGCTGCACCACCACGCCAACCTGGTGTGTTCTAATAAACCCTGAAGCTCACACACAGATGTGTACACACAACATAATTAAAATCATGCAAACCTGTGTCTGGATCTTGCTGTTGTTGTCCATGAATACGAAGTCTTGACACAAGGACAAACCAACAGGAACTTGAGGATTAGGGTGGTTGGGACATATTTTTAAACACCGATCTTAGAACAAATAGCAGGTGAGATTTTTAATACTGTAACAAAAACACTTCAGGATGGTAACAGAAAACTATTTCAGTTAATGCATTAAACTGTCTATCAAAAGAAAACGGCAACAGCACTAATGATAAAAAATAAACATCAAATTAAGAGACAATAAATTTAAAAAATAGTCGATTCCATTTCTAGTCCTCAAACAACAAGGCTTAGTCCTCTACTGCCCTCTTCTGTTCCTCACCCACTACAACAGAATAGCATTACTTTCTCCATGATTGTGCAAGCTCAGTTTAATGTAACACACCTGAATGTTATATGCAGGCTCTCTTTTGAGTAGTTACTCGAGAGTTTACTAAGACATTCTTTGATTGAGAGGAAAAAAAATCTAAAAGCAATTTTTGAACTGCTTTGAATAAACAACTAAGGCATAATCCATAGCCAACACAATTTGAAAGCCACGCCTTCCATTATACAATCAGTATAGAATCTATTCAGTATATATACTGAAAGTATTGGCACCCACCAACCTACAACAATGACATAACTTGCAGACAGTGGACCTACAAAAATAAGACGACACATCTCTTCTAAGGCACAGATTACAACTGAAACTATGAAATGATTGGATAGTGTCACTTGGAGGTGACAAGAGTTGGCCATTTCTTTGCAGTTATACCATTTCACCATGAATTAAATCAGGAAATGGGTAATTTGATTTTAACAACATGTTGCATGCAAATCAGCTAATCCTGGATTCTGTTATATTTTTAAGGAAACATTTTTGATCAACATGCATGAAATTAACCACCACTATTATTGGAGCTTGGGGGACTGTTAAAAGTAAAAATGTTGCTGAACACAAGGGGAAAGTATTGTTTGGAATGGACACGAACGACATTAGTTCATGGATAATTTATTCCAAGCAGAAATTTAGATACTGAACAAGTTGGTAAACCCGGAAACAGTGAGATGAAATCCTCTCATGAAGGAATTAAAATTTGGGCCAGTGCAGTTATGAAGCAGGTACTACATTAGATCACAAAAATAAATGTGAACTTTCAGAAGAAAATCCCAATATTTTGATTATAGCTAAGCAAAATTCAAGTGGTTTATACTGGAAAGAATTCAATACTCTTCACTTTAAAAAAAATGGAAGGGAGGTTAAGCAGAGAAACTAACAGAAGAAAAACTAGAGCATACAAAGCCAACTACAACAATACTGAAAATACTGCTGAACCCCACCAAAAAAAACCCCAACGTGATCTTGATCAAAAATCAAAGCCAACTGAAATCTCCGGGAGAAAGGTTAAAATGTAACAAACAGCCAATGAAGTTATAATGGGGAGATTTTGGTATTCAAGGTTTCTGATTTACTGATCCAAACTAAGTTTTTATACAGTACTGTAAACATCAGAGCTTTGGTCAAGCCTGTGAATGCAAAGGTGTTTTTATCTTTGCTTAAAATTAGTATGATAATATTATAACTGGCAGAATAGAAGGCACACTGATTAAAACGATCATGCTTAAGGTTACATGTCTAAAAAATAAAGCCCCATTTACATCATCACAAGTCTGTTTTATTATGTGACTTTGTACAATACAAACAAAAAATAAAAAACAAAATACAGAGATGCAGTACATGAACAAAGCTAAATGTGGAAATGACTAGGAGGGCAGCATACCCAACTCTGATGCAAGTAAGGAGATACCAGCTTTATTACAGAGAAATGGGCATTTGTTCTTTGACTCTTAACCGCCTAATGCAGTTACTGAAACAAGTTAACAATGTTTATTCCCCAAAATGCTAACATACAAAATCACTATCATTTTTAGCAGGGCCAATATATGGAAAAAAAAAACAAACACCTAAATTAAACATTAAATGAAGTTATATATAACGATCCTGGTTAGATTATTTAAATTAATAGAAGTGGTAGAAGCATAAAATTTGGGAAAAGAAAGCAATAACAAATGTTATAAAAAAAGCCTGAGGTGCATTTTGGCCTATAAGTATCACCTTTAATCTTGTCTAAGTTTTAAGGTGAGAGATCTCTCCATTGGTCATAATGTTAGACTATGTTGTATAGAATGCAGCACGGTATGAAACTCGTGTTATACTTAAAGCATAGAAAAGAATATTTATGGCATTTTGTTTAGAAACACCTTAAGTTATTGACATTGTGGAAGAACAGGTTTATTTTTGTAAACAATCAACCACCAGAACATGATTGTACAATAGTAAAACAAATAGTTTCTCTGCATACAGCTGTAGACATCAGTTAAAATCAAGGGAATAACAATTTAGCATGTTTAAGTGGAGTCTGTCCACGGTTTTTATAAGATGCAACCAAATTAAAATTTTGCGGACAAAGACCATACTGATCTGGCGGTGTGGCATGCTAATGCATCCGATAATCATGACAGAACTGGTACATGGCTGGTTGACAAAACCAAAAATAAACACCCAACGTCCAGGCTGGAATATTGGCAACTAGTACATCGTTACGTGGTGGTCCTGAAAAACTTTAAAAGATCTTCCCCTTCTTTTGTTTCTTTTCCAAGGTCCTAAAGGAAAGACGGAAAATGACAGGTTAGTGTGAAATACGCTGCGTGCTATGCAAGTGTGTGCAGACTGGTATATCGCAACACTGAAACAACAGTTCAAATGTAATAAAAAGATCCCCAGTCCAACTTGTTTTCCTGAAATGATGACTGGATGCAAAATGTTCCTTTTAAAATTTTCACCTGGGATAGCTTACAGCCTCTTTTGCAACAGGGAAATGTTGCACTTTCACCGAATCGAAGCTTCAGCCTTGGCCTCTTGACCTCTAGCAGGAGAAATACATGCGGTTGGCTGATCTAATGGAAGCTAAAAACCGCTGGGAGCATTCAAACTCACTTTCATGGCACCATCAGGTCTCCCCTCCTATCTTGACACGATTTACAAGGAGCTCTATCCTGCTCAGCCCAGCACGCCTAACACCAGCCACAGAGCTGGTGTTTCTACCATGGTCATATCCTTATCGCATGGTCATTCAATGCACAGCTGCCAGTTTTATTTTAGGATGGAGTGAAATATTCCTCATCCCCCCAAACTATTTCAAATGATTAATAATCATGACAAGAATTAGTATTTACCACCTGTGCAGAGGAGACTGAGTGCTACAGTTGGTTACCTGGAAGCGTCGAGCTTCTGCTGTTCCAACAGCCGCTGCTGAACCTCCCAGCTCGACTTTTCTTCCTCAAACTGACGCCGCTTCTCCTCCAGCTCCTTGTGTTGAGCTTCCAGGTTCTTCTTCATCTGTTCATGGCGGCGCTGAAGCTACAGAGGCGACAAGCGTGCAAAACACGCAATTTTACCCTCAATAGATATGAGTGTTTTACTTTCGTCTTTCTGAAACGGTTTGCCAGCACATTTCAATGCATCATTTTTCTAAAAAACTTAACACACTCCAACAGCGATCACTTCAATTGAAAACGTTCAACCTGAAGAAGGCTCCACGGCCAAAACATTGCGTTTTCTTTCTTCCCTTTTCAGTATGGAATAAACCTTTTTTACTTGTTCCTTTGCAGCCTACGCATACTGATGCAGCTACCCACCTGAACTAGTTAATCAGGATGGCTCACTTCTAGTTCCTCATCATTTCAGTTAATGGTATTTTATATCAGAAAGATACACAGAACAAGCACCCTTTTAAACTGCCTGGAATCTGTAAAATCTCAAGATGAGATACAATTTCCTAAATACCGAACACTACGTGTAGCTGTCCTAAGCTGTTCAGCTTATGGTACTGCTTCTGCAGTGATTGATTTTCCACCAAATGGACCAAGTAGAAGTACTTTAAATACCATATGTACCCAACATTTTTAAAAGTATTATGAACAATTAATTTTAACTCTATATACCTCTGCCTCCGAGTCCTTCAGTTTCTGGATCTTCTCCTTGACTTTCATCTCAAAGACCTGCTCCATTTCCATCTCCATCTTCTTCATCTTGGTCACGTGCTCTCTTCTCTCCTCCTCCATCTGAGCCAGTGGGCTTCTACAAGAGTGGCAAAGAACCACAACGGAGTCAAACAAACCACCCTTTCTAACTTGCCGAGCACATCCCCAAAACTCTGAAGGAATAGAAGTAACTGCCAACAATGATGTGATTTTAGTCCTTTAAACATAAGTTGTTTTTTCCCCTCCTTGTACTGTTATTAGTAAATTTAGAAATGTTGCTACCAAAACAATTTTTAACAGTAAAACTGCATAACCGTTTTTCAAATTTGGATTCTTTTTCTTCTGTGCTCCCAATCAGGAGCGAAAAGAACAGAAGTCCAATTCAACATATTTAAAGAACCAATCAGTCAGTGAATTTTTGACGGTACTGTGTGTTTATTAATCCCAAGGCAAGATAATAAAAATAAAGCAAAAATCACATCAAAGCTCTGATACAAGCCTGTTGAAGAAAATGAGGGAGCACAGAAATAGGCACAAGCAAACAATCTATCCCTGTGGAAGTCCCAGTGATCCACAGACAGTTGCACAGCAGCCCTTAATGCATTAGTAAATGAAGCTTGCTTAATTTTAGAGAAATCTGAAAGCAGGCCAACATCGATTTCCAATTGTGGTGGTTTACTGGATCAGCATATCTGGAAATAGAAACTTTAATGCTTAATCAATTTACACTGGGAAAAAAAAAGATCAGTTCTTCAGCTCACCCATACTACAGGATCTCTTCAGTGCCTGCACTCATTAGATAATTATAATGAGCACATCGCTACGGTATAAACTTACAAACACAGTATTGGACAGAGTTCTAACAGCAAGGAGAAAGCATGCAAACCACCTGCAGGAGTATCACATAAAATGAACAGAAGTCAAGTCTCATCTCGGGTTTTGGAAGAACTTAAATGACCACTTACATGCCTTCAACTGTGTCAAATCTAAAAAACAAAAACACACAAACTTAGCATGCTGAAAGTAAACCATGCACTAAGCAACTATTAAAAAGAGGGGAAGGTGGGACAAATCAATAAGGTTGTGGCAAATCAAAACAACTGTATTTAAATGAAATACAAATAAAATGTCTGCTGTGTGTTGGCACGCTTCGGATTAGTAGTGGCTCCACACTGCATTGCTGAGGGTTAGCTGGCTTTAATTTCAATTAGAGGAGTGGTGTGCAGCAGTGGTGTTAAAGCTTTCATGCCATCCTAGACACCAGCAAGGAGACCACTGAACTCTTCAATGCTGAACTGGCAAACCTGACCTTTAGGAACTCAGATTAAACCCTTATTAAAAATGTATGAGCACAAAAGTCAACTGCAGTGTTAATGTGTAATGTACACAGACACAGAAGATGGGACAATAAAATGCCAACAGATGCAAAATAGGGAATGACAAAGTGACAAGATGTATGGCACTAGTTATCATAAACCAATCCAGTTTATCAATAACAGGTGTTTAGGTTGTGTAAAAGTCCACTGCAACATTTCAGATAGTAACACTCTCAGGCAGTGACAGACTGATAGTTCAGGCACTGCTCTTACATTTTTCAAACTTAATTCAACTGCGTCTCCTGATGCCAATATCCCAATATTACTTTATTCCACACAGGAAAGCCACTGGACGTGAACTGGCACCAAATATCAGGGTTCAGCATGAGGTCTGAGCAGCATGTATTTGTAATGTCAACTCAAGCATGAAAAATGTATTATGTCATCTTCAGATTAAACAGTCATGTGGACATCTAACACCATACCACTGTGGAGGTGACCTACTGCATTTCTTATATACCTAGCATCAAAACCCCTCATCTCTTAAGTAGCAAGATCACTAAGATATCAGGAAAATGACAATCTTTTTTTAAAAGGTGCTATGATATTTTTTTAACAGACATGTCCACAGGTCCTAGATCAAATTAAAATTTATCATCAAGGGATTGATCAACAGGGTGTAGAGAGTGGTGTGTCTGGTCACAACTGGATCCAATACAAGCTGTAAATCTGTGACATGCAATAAACCAGACTGAAAATGCTAAGTTTGGGGATTCGGTCTCATTCCTCTTGTAGAGCCTGGACAAGTAAGTGCCTTCTTGCTGAACTCTGAGCCCAAGATGCCACCAGTCATCTCTACTCATTTCACACACCATTCAAGGGGCTCAAGTCTGGTGAACGGGGTATTTACAGTATAACTCTTATATTTTCATCTCGCAAGACAACAGTTGTTGCACCTGCACAACTAATTTCAGTCAGAAATGTTCAGACCTTTAAAGTCACATCAAAGATCTAATAACTATTTTATCAGGAATGGAAATCCCCAGAGCAAAAAGAATTTCACAACATACACTATTATAAATTTAAATACTTAAATATTAAAGACTTACTTGGTGAGCTGTCCCTTATTCTTGTTGTTATCTACTCCGTTGTATGTAACAGCTGCCAACTTCCTGCTTCTATAGTTCTCATAGTGTACATTATTGGTAACATCCTTCAGATCCTGCATGTGAGTTCTGAAAATGAGCAAACATTTTCCAATTAAAATGTAGTACAGTTCACAATATTATAAAAATGATAAATACATTTCAACACATTTGATAATAAACAGTTAATTCTAATTATCTATATTTCCTTACCTGATCAGCATGTTTCTTAGAATTGTGAAATCACAATGCTCTCCATTTTCCACTGCAAACAGGAAAGTTAAAAAGTTCAGATTTCAAGTACATTTATTGAACAGCGAAATTTGAAAGAAGTTTACTTTAAATTAGGAATACATTGAAATAAGTCCAAAAAATTTAAAAAAGGTGAAAAAGTTAATTGATTTGCCAGCTGTATTATTTAGAATTTAGAATGAACAGCTCACTGATTTGCTACCTCAAGGGAATAGATGCATCTCTGTACCATCTGGAACTGAATAATTCCTTCTCCTTGTGACCAGACTGTATACTTGCATTTCTGCATTGCTGATCCTGGTACACATGAAGGAAGACTAACACTCAAGTCTATTCATCTATGTGCAGATGAAGACAGAGAACTGTAGCATACTGACTTAACTCTTCCTAGACAGATATGATAACCCAAGGTCGCCAAACTCATTTGTGATGGCAGATAAAATGAAATTAAAATTTTCTTTAAGCAGGGCAAACACACCATAAATTTCAGAAATACTACGTAGAACCATTGTGTAGTATGATTTTCTAGAGTTTTGGAATTTTGGAGTTTAACTAAATGCTCCCTTTAAAATGTTATTAACAATCATCAATTAGTATAATTAACAGTGACTTCACAATGTCTGGACATTGTGTTCCATCCATCCAGCCTACCCCAGCGAGCCATGGGCGGGAGGCAGGACACACTCTGGATGGGACACCAGTCCATCACAGGCCACACACAGACAAATACGCACACACTTACACCAGGGCCAATTTTCCCAGAAGCCAATTAACCTACCAGTATGTCGTTGAGTTGTGGGAGGAAACCTATGTGAACATGGGGAGAACATACAAACTCCACACAGAGCACCCCCAGGTCTAAAATTGAACCCAGGGCCCCAGCGCTGCAAGGCAGCAATGCTCACCACTGCGCCACTATGCCACCCCTGGTGGAAGAAAAAATGGGCAACCATATGGTCAAACCTTGCTATCTGAATGATATATTTACGATTTTTTTTCATTGAAATTTTCACTAAAATGACAGCACTAGCCTCAACCCTACTGCCAGTGATTCAGGTGTTACCTGCCTTGAACCAAGGGAAATAATTACCCTTGGCTAAAAACCTTCAAGTGACAGAAAAGACTGAAAAAAGAGACAAGTGGTTGCAAGACATTTGTATTGCCTTGAATTTAACTGTGCTGTGTACATTTTCAACATTTTGTGCATACTATAAAACTGTATAAACAAGTTTCATGATGTACCAGGTTAAATGGAGTAATTATCAAAATTGTGGAATAGATTTCTTCAGATTTTAATAATACAGTACTCTTAAGGTAATAATCTGAACAAATTAGGTTTGCATGCCAAAAGATGGGTGGATATTTATGTAAACCGCAGAACTGAAATGCAAGTTAAACAGGCCCGGGGATTAGTGATCAGCATCACCTATAAATTAAGTTTGAGGCCTGACAACACTAACAGCACTGTGATAAAACAAGGCCAGCTGTTTTTCTTTGTTTTCATTATAGGTTTATTGTTTTAAACTGGGGAAAAAAAAGAGGAAAAGGCACAGTTAAAGGATGTCAAAAATTCACTTTTACCGTTGTTCTTTGATAGCTATCAGTTCTAAATAAGGCATGTCACAACCCATCCTAAAACAGCATAACAGCAATTAAAATTAGACTGAATTCCAGAGCCCAAAGTTCATCTCAGGGTGCTGCATTTAATAAAAACAATGCTTATAATACCCTGCAGGGGGAGACAAGGTCACTCTTTTGAAATATGGAAGAATGACCTCAGATTAGACTCAGTGGAACACCAATATTTATGAATACTACAGCAGTGGACAAAGCCCAGGTTGTGTTATATAGCCAATAACTCAACCATGGCACCTAGGCTCTGTCCAGCTAAGCAAACTGCAAAAATCAGTCCATAATTTTAGTGCTTAATAACAAAAACATACAAAAGGAGGATTTAAAACTTTCCCGTTAATTACAAATTATACTAAGGTTTATATTCAGGGTTACTTTTTAAATACCGATTAGACATAATAGAAAGTGTAACTGTAATTCTGTTACTGTAAAAATTCTAAATCTAGAAAATGTTGAATATTTGCAAGGACAGTCTTGTGCTGCACCTGACTTCAGTAAAAATGAAAGTAAAGTAATGTAAAAAAAAATAAAAGCATGAACAACACTCAATGTCAGTAGTAAAGAAACTCTCTTTGATTGGAAAGAGTCTCTGTGAGCTAAATGCAGAAAAAGTATTAAAACAAAAGAAATCAGTAATGTTATCTTTTAGAACAACCATCTCAACCCCATATTTGTCATCTAAACCTGGAATATATGCTTATGTTTGTATTTTTAAAGAGTCCTTTTATGCTGTATGAGTCAGGAAAGACAGTATATGTGTGGTATGATATATGGGGTATTTTCAGATGAAACACAGAAATGGATGGAAGAATAACCAATATTCCTTAGAAGAAAATGTACGTTTTTTTCATGAATGAAGGAATGTTTGGTCATGTCTGAAGAATTCCGAGCCTGTCGCATCTAAAGGCAAAATACCTTGACATCTGGGGGACAGCCTTTATCTCAAGATGAATGTCAGATTCCACAAAACTAAGAAAAAAACCCTTGTACTTAAACAAACAAAGTATTACAGTAAAAAAAGCTTACTATACATAAAAACTTGATCAGGTTTGGTTGTGGTTTTTTAAAGATTTATAATTGCACCTTATTGTTATATAAAGTTAAAGGTCTAATTTGTTGGACAGTACATCACCACTGTTTCTCAAATAAAGTATGATCATTCAAATAAATGGCATTAAATATTGCAAGACATAAAATATTATATATTATATTGTATATATAATATATAATATATAATATATAATATTATATAAAATATTATATAATATACATTATTTTATAGATATTTTCTTCTTCTTTTTTAATGTTTATTCATTATTAAAAATAAATAACTACAGACTACAGGCCAGGGACAACATCTCAATTTGTGCCCATGTTAATTGTAAAATGCAGGCTCCCTGCTACATGTAACTTTATAATGACAACAGAACTCAGCATGATACAGAACCCCATTCACAACATGATTGCAATGTTGGCTTTGTTTATTCAGCTTTAAAATGTGCTGCAGAAAATGCATCAGCTCTGTTTCTTAATCAGTCACATGGAAAGATAGAGAGAGCCTTTATTTTGCATGTTTTCATAACCCTGAATACAAATGAGAATTATATCCAGACAGTTTCAGAACGGTCTTAGCTTACAGCCACTTCCATCAGAGACCATCAGAGAAATCATAAGGTGCTTACTGGCTCTTCAGACGGGTGAAGAGAAAGCCACTTAACTAAGGACCATATGAGTAACAGAAATTTAATATAAATAAAGCATTAGAAAGAAATCAAAATAGTTTAAAGGCTTGATTAAAGAAGAGTGGAAAACTGATTAAATAGGTCATGCTGAGACCGTGGAACGCACTACAGAAATCAAAAAGAATATTCAATTGTTGTCAAAATACTAGGAAAAATATACTGCTCTAACAGCAGAATAAAGACTAATAACTACAGTTTGGCAACTTTTCTTCAATAAAGACAGTATGAAGGCTACTTTACTATCTTTAGCATCAAACTGTATGAAACTGAATTCTAAAATAAATGAGGGATATTAATGAGACAAAAATCTCTTTAAGTGAGGTAGTTATAATGTTATAGATTTGATTATTAATATGGGAATAACATTACCACTGTAATGTACATTCGAGGGCAATATCCCACAATGAGATTTACATAGTTACAGTTACAAACTTAAAATGGACTTGATACCACTCTCTGCAAAGATACAAGCTCAATGAATATTTGGAATTATCACAGTATCTTCTAGAGATGAAAGAAAGGGAATCTACAGTATTGGTCATTCACCAAATTAATGTGAAAACAGAACTGTGGCAGAAAATCTGAGAATTTTGCCACCCGCCATTTTTCTCTTTCTAGTTTGTCACAGCCTGTTTTTATGTCAGCACTATGCAAGCTTCCTGTCTGATATATACTTCAAAGCACAGTCACATCCTGTGAAGGTTTTAAAATTAACAATAGTTTTGGTCTCCTGTTAATAGGAAAAAACCTTAAAGATCACAATTCTTTTTTTTTCCATTTGTCTTTAAGAACGGACTTAACCACAAGTCTATGGAAAATACAAGGGGATTAAAAGTGAATTCATACTAGGGATGCTTTTTTGACATTCAATGTTTTTTATGGTCTATTGAATTGAAAGTTATTATCAGTAACATTCGATTGAGAGTAATCAATGTCTGAAATGAAATGCAATTCAATTTTGTATTTGTGCAACAATTTATAATGTTTGTAACTGAGGAATGCTTATATATATATATCCCAAATATTACCCCTAGTTATGTGCATATAATAAAGAAAAGAGATGCTACAAGAATTATTATAACAACATAATCCTGTAAAGGTTATCTCTCTGTGTGATTTTGCATTGGAAAAGTTAAATAACAGATCAGACAGTCTTTTATTTGGAAGAAGCTCTCCTAATTTAAAGTAACAATTATAGTTCCTCCTTAAATTCCCCATGAAAACCAAACCTTTTCTATAAAAACCACTGTTAATGGCAAATCTGATATAGAAAGGGGAGTATTCAGAAAGTTATCTATTACGATACAGTTATAAAAATTGAAGGGAGTTGTGTGTATTTAAATTGATTCTGCTACAGAGACTGACGTCTGGTTATAGAAGTAAACCTTTTATGAAGATTCACAAGATGGGGCTGGAAAATGTGGTTTGAATAACATAAACCACATGTACATCTCTACTGAATAAGGCAAACTGATGAGAATTCCACGCTGGGAAACAGACTGAATATGCACTGAGGTTTTATAGAAGATAAAAATATGGGATGAAATATGCAAAAGGACACCTTATTATTGGAATAATAACCTCAAAAATGAATCAGTAAATCTTAAACGCATGAATGCCACTTGCTAACATAAGAATCAGGTAAAGCAAATGCAATGCTTCTTTTGCAAAATCCCACCAAGCCTTAGGTTGAACAATATATACATGCAATATATACATGCAGTAAATATAGTCAGTGTAAACCCAATTTCATCCTGAATAATCAGAATTTTATGTTTGAATGTTTGAAACAGCTGTTTTAAAGAAAAAGTACATTAGTCGACAACTAAAATAGAAGACTCGCATTTTCAAATTTTGTTGCCCTACCTTCAGCAACTCCCCATGGATACTGTCTTCCTCGCACTCGTTTTCCATTGACTTCTATTATAGTATTGCTGCCTACTACTGCCAGTGGTAAACGGTCCTGTGGAGACATGATGAAGGGGTAATACCACCTGTACTTCCTGATCTTTAAACCTATAATTTGCTAGAAAGCCATTTAGCACATTAAGTAGATCAGAACAAACAGAGATCGGTTACATTCTCATTGCGCGCTAATATTAATCGAATCTTAATTCTGAACAGAAAGCCAAACTAGTCATCAAAGAACCATTTTCAGAAATATATTTGGAAATGTTTTGAATTCTTTTACATCCCTGGTATTTCCTGCACTTAAAAAACACTCTGAAAGAAAAACACCAATAGCTGCAAATTACAGCTGTGTCATGCCAGCGTATGGCACTATACAGTCTGAAGTAAAATACTAAGGAAAAAGAATTTGTAGCAGTAAAGGTCTCCTGTGGTTTTGGTTTAAATGGCTGCATTGACCAACATAAACTAACAGCTTCAAGGTCAGGCACATCTTACTGACACAATAGTGCTGTATTCAAATAATCTGTATGAAACATGGCTGTGGAACTGTGATGTGATGGATCACATGTTTGCTTGTCTTCATTCAACTTCATTCTCACTGACAGCAATGGAAACCACTTGGCTCAGCTCTTTATTTTAGCCAGCTAAAAAAACAACAACTTTACCTTGATCTTTTTAACTAACTTGTTCTCCTCTTCGTCATCCGTCTCTGGAAACTCATAGATTTTAATTTTGTGCTCTTGAATTTCTCTCATTATCTAGCAGAGAAATGAGATGGGAGGGTAAAATGTATTAAAATAATGCAATGACTCTGGAAAACTCCAATGACTATCAGATGCACATGTAAAGAGTTTTTTTAAACAGACCTCACTACCTTGTATACACGTGTAAAACAAATGTCATCACAAAGAAACATTCAGCAGACTTTAATTAATATTTTAAACATTGCAAACCTGTATTCCAAGGAATTGCTTTTTCTGGTTTGTCAGCTACTTCACATTCAGTCTAACTGCTGTTTATTGAAATCACCACGGCTATTCTGTTTTTGCTGGCCCTGTTATCAACTTAGCTTTTCTTACTGTTAAGTATTTTTAAATTACCAGTTGTAATCTACAGTACTAAAAGCGTTGAAAACATCTTTATGTCTAAAATCACTCAAACTGTAATTTTCTTAATGTTACACCCTCTGCTGAAAACAATTTTGAACAGCAGCATGTTCAAGAACAGAAACATGCAGAGGTTTGCCATCAACGTTTCCAGCATAAAGGCAGTGAAGTGAAGATATATGTAATCGGTACTAGACTAGAATCTTACTGTGTTTTCAAGAAGCTGACAGAAGGCATTGCTGTTCATAAACCTAGCAAATAATCACACAATGAAGAAACTGCAACAGGTTAGTTTGTTCTCTGTACAGGAAGCAAATGGATTAAGATCTGTTTCAAAGAATCAGCTACTTGACTGCCTAAAATACACATAGAAAAAAATATGTAAAAGCCATAAGTATTGCCAAGGTTCTCCATTCTCACCTGTTTCTTAAACTGTTGGCATTCCTCTGGTGTGAGTGTATCAGCTTTGGCAATGAGGGGGATTATATTCACTTTTTCATGTAACCGTTTCATGAACTCGATATCCAAAGGTTTTAGCCTGCAAAAGAAACCAGATTGTTTGAATTCCGTATACAATATCATTTAACTAGAAAAACAGCAGGAGGTTTATTATTAGGCTAGTTCTCCATAAGATGATGTATAAAACCACAGGGATGTTAAAATCCAACATTTTGGCCACCTGAGCCTTCCACCTTTGCAAAGAATATGTACTTTAGAGTGCACGGCAATATTCGGTTATCAAAGATCACACAAAATTATGACTTTCAATTTGGCATCAGATTTGCCCAATCTACGGCTAGACATGTTGCGAACAGGGGATCCCTACTTGCGAATTTTTGCATTTTTTTTGACAAGGCGTGAATAATATTGACAAAACAGAAAAACATCTATACTTTTCCCATAACCTTAAGTACATGCTTTCCTACATTGCAGAACGATATCCAAGAAGCAAAGCTCTGAAGGAGCAGCTTGAGTAGGATCCAGTAAAATCTCAAAACTGTGTTTTTGTGAAACAAACTCTTAGGTCAAAGTCAAGATCTTTGTTTCACATTCTTCTGCTGGATAGTAAATGCTTGTTGTACAACATTTTAAGTGTCAAATAAAACAAATGTGTCTTCTCAACTAAATAGCCAAACAGATAAGAAATGGTAAACTTCAACAAGATATATTACAATTGGCATTTAATGATTACAGATATCAGACAGACTGAAGGGGTAATTGTTACACAAACAATGTCCAACAGAGCTGTCTTGTCATCTCTTAGCAAATAGCTAGCAGTTTTCTTTATGTGCCTCTGACTGGGAGTCAAACCATTTGGAAACTCCTATGCAATAACCTTTGCAATGCAAAATACATAACACTACACTATAAATATTGATTGGATGTACAAAATGGTTGACAATGAATTTGATAATCAAATCAATTACAAATAAAAATAGCTTTGTACTTTATTAGCAAGTCTATACTTGAACGTCAAAGTGCCTTAGTTTTTAATTCAATTTAAGGATTTTTTATCCTTAAATAATTTTGGTTTTTATGGTATAACAGATGAGTTGTGCACATATTTTATTTTTATAACATTTAAAACTAAATATTATGCATGATATACAAACCAGAGTAAGCATGTCCGATAAACCAAGGATAATAAAGACAACTGTCAAGTCCAACATTCAGAAAAACTAAAAACACATCAGCTGATCACATCTATTTTAAAGGTGTAACAGACTTTCAACTAGAAATGCTTCATTATGTCATGGGACTTTCTGCAGAACACTTCCCTCTTTGACATTCATCACCAAGGCAATAAAATCAGTACTACATGAACACAGAAAGAACAAAAACACGCCATACTAACCCATGACCTGAAGGTGCAATGAAGTACAAACAGCAATGCACTCTGTTGTCTGGCATCTGGCGTCTGTTCACACGAGACTCTGCATTGAGATAATCCTCAAACTTGCTATCGATGTGATCAATGACCGGCTGCCAGCTGCAACAAGACATACATTGTCATCTGTTTATTTTAATTTACAGGGAAAAAAATGAACAAAAAAGGGCTTTAAAAAAACATAAGGCTGATGTGAGCAGAGCAGTTAAAACATGAAAACAGATAATAGAGGAACAAGTGTAGAACAATGCAAGGCTGAAGAAAGGTAAATCATAATTAGTTCACAATAGTAGCAGTTTAACTGTTTAAAGGATCTAATTTTGCCAACAGCTGTTAAGCAAGCCAAATATTTTACACCTCTCAATACTGCTCTTGCAGTTTGAATGGATGTGTTAAATGCAGCACATTTTGCTTGCATGCATGGCCTTACCAGTTACTGTTGTCGACAGCATCTCCAAATCCAGGTGTATCTACTATTGTAAGAAGCAACTGGACTCCGCCTTCTTTTATTAAAACCTTGGACTGTTCAACCTAGAGGGGAAAAAAAACAACCACGTTTAGAAACGGTCTTATAACTAGAAAGTGCCAGCAGTTTTGAAGCTTTCCAGGCATTGCCCTTACCCACTTTTACATGGTCAGTGACTTGAGAGTGAACTAGAAATGATACCTGCCAAGTGGGGAATTCAATGGCTGAACAGAAGAGCGTATGGTGATGGGCTGTGAGTATTTGCCACAACATGTGAGGTACAAGTCTGAGGCAGGATTCAGTGTGATGAAACCCGCCAAGCTGGGAGTGCAGCCGTTCGCACAAAGATGATTTTCAAAGGGTTAGTGAACACAGGTCAGACGACACATTGCTCTCATTGTCTCAAAACCCTGTATTTTGTCATAAATGTAATGGCTTGTCTGACCCAGCACAATACCACCGTTCCACTACATGGAAGTGTGATAAGGAATACAAACTGAATATCAAATGTCTAGAGACAGGGAATTTGTATCAGTTCTCCTTATTTTCTGGAAACACACTTACTGCACTAATAGTGCAAACATGATTTTGTTCATTTTTTATCACACAAATAGAGGGCTAAGACCTATACAGAAAAACGGATTATAAAGGAGTTTTAGCATTTCAAAGCAAGTTCAAAAGTGCAACATTTTAATTTTAAAATAAGTTGTGAAAATCCAGACATTTATGTTTTGTTATACAGTGCATTGCAAACATATTCAAACCCTTCCAGTTTTCACGCTGAGCTGCTTGAAAGTTGGCAATCATGATTGCTTAAGCATTCAAACCTTTTGTTGAGGAACATCTAAAGTAATGTAAGTGCACAGAATTACCTTAACGAGCCACGCAATTAGTTTAATGGCCTCAGTCTACGTGCAATAATGGTGGTTAACATGATTTCACAATACATCTCTGTAAGGTCTCTCAGTCAGGTAGGGAATTTCAAGCAATGATTCAGCCACGACAACCAAAGAGCTTTCCAAATAAGGCAAGGATAATCTTGTTTAAAGGTGCAAATCAGTAGGTTATGAAAATCTTTCAAAGTTGCTTAATATCACTTTGAGCATGGTGAAACAGATCATTAAGAAGCAGAAGCCATCCAGTCTACCTATCCCAGGCAGACTCTCCAAACTGAGCAAAAGGAACCTTGTTGGGGATGTTATTGTGAAGTCAATGGTAACTTTGAAATAGGCTGCCCAGTGGCTGAAAGGGGTAAAAATATACAGAGGTCAACATGTATCCTGATCACTCCACATAGGAGGCATTTATGGAACTGGAAAAATATCCAAATGGTGTTTACAACAAAACATAATGGTCATAACAAAAACAATTGAACTTTATAGTGTAAATGCTAAAACATTACATCTGACACAAACCAAACAAAGTGTATTACTCAGTTAACAGCATCTCTACTGACAAGCACAGTGGTGGCAATGTTATGTAAGAGTTCTGCTTCTCATCAGCAGGGACTGGGAAGCTTGTCAGGACTGGGAACACAAAGTACTGCAACTGGGAGCAAAGTTCTGCAAAACCGGCTTAGACGAAAACCTGCTTCAGATGTGAAATGGGACAAAAAGGCACCTTTTTAGCCAAAGCTTAACTGGAGTGACTTAAGAATAAAGTGAATGCCTCTGAGTGCCCATTTCAAAGCCCTGACTTGAATTCTATCAATAATAATAATAATAATAATAACAGCAATAACAATAACAATAATAATAATAATTATTATTATTATATCTTACACTTATATAGCACTTTTCTGGACACCCCACTCAAAGCGCCTTATGGGTAACGGAGACTCCCCTCCACCACCACCAATGTGCAGCATCCACCTGGATGATTTGACAGCAGCCATAGTACACCAGAACACTCACCACACATCAGCAGCTATCAGTGGGGAGGAGAACAGAGTGATGAAGCCAATTCACAGATGGGGATTATTAGGAGGCCATGATTGGTAAGGGCCAGTGGGAAATTCGGTCAGGACGCCGGGGTTACACCCCTACTCTTTTCGATAAACACCCCGTTTCTGTGACAGAATCTGTGGAAAGACTTGAAAGCTACTGTCGCCATAGGAGGGGTCTGAATACTTTTGCAAGGCACTTTAACTTTATTAAGAAACATGCAATTTCATAACTTTTAAATGCTGTGTCATGTTCTAACCTTAACAGCTTGTGTAATTTGGCAATCATTGATGTTTCTACTCGTATATGTGTGGTGCTTAGTGCTACAGATTTTAGTCTTCTGTCTAGACAGATGCAGTGAGAATATGCAAATGAATATGTATCAATACATTTAACTAAGTACAGACTTCGATAAACTTGTTGATATGCCATTGAGTTTGCTGAACAATGCACAGTTTATAGAATTGCTGGTATTTTAGCCAGATGCCTCCCTCCATTACTGCAAGGGAGTGCTACAACAGCCAAACCACCATCACATTCAAATTAGTGTTGCTGGCTCTCAGAAATCCTGAACTCTCTGGTGTAGGAATTCAGAGGTCTGAATACTTGCAATGCAACGATGCAATCAACGGTATTTTTTTTTAGTTTTCCCCAACATTTACAGTGTCTGAGCACTCAAACTTTGAATATCAAGTTTAAGAAGACATGCATGCATTATTTGGTCATTTCCTTCAGGAAGGGTCTAGATATTTTTTCACTGAATTCATAGACACTAAACTCTAAAAATAAAAAAAATGTGTTTTATTCTTAGAACTATGAAAAGATAATGTTTTATGTGAATCCCAGTGCTGCATGCATTACATTTTTCTATGTGCTGTTTTGACTTAGAATGTAAAAATATTTTAATACTCTTGACCACCAGATAGAATGTTCTGAGAGCCAGCAATATTTGAATAAAGCCCTGAAGCAAAAAAAAGTACCACGTTTTTTAGCAATTAAGCAACCTAACAAAGCTTCTCAAGAGTGATATAACAACTTTACCACAGTAAATCATTATCCTATTGTCACCTGATTGTGACAATCATCCCAGTGTCATTTGATGGTGGCTCTATAGGTTTCAGGGAAAAACAAAATTAAGGAATAAAAAAAAAAACACCTAAATCTTGAATTTTGGAAATGTACCAGTATCCTATATTTCAAATCAACCCAAGCTAGGACTTCACTATCCATTCTGCTCTGTTTACGAGGAAGGCTCTAGTTGCAGGAGCTTGTGGCAGAACACCTGTACGCTCCTTGCCTGACTTGACAGAAATGCTCTCCCTTGTGTTGTGACAAGATTACTGGGTGCTTTTGAAAATGGAGGAGCTCCCCATTGTAGTTCTAATTTCCAAGAAACAGATGTAAATGATAAAAAGTTGATGGTTTTTAGTTATTAAATAGCTATAATTTCAAACAGGTTAGAAACATTTAAAAATGGACAGCAAACAACATCAGCGAGTTGATTCAGCTTACATACAGTAGACAAATGTTACTGTGCTGTATACACTGAGCTGGCCAGGCTGAGCACCTTCTACACAGCTGCCAGTGAAACGCCAGAATTTCATCACATGGTGGTCAAACCGGGTGGCTCATGTTTTTATTTTCGCAGGCTATGGGCTTGTTCTGAACTCAGAGGCCCAGTTTTCTCAGGGGAAGACAGCTGTTATTGTAGAGAGATGCTTATTCCCGAGACCGGGAACTCAGAATAAAAGTAAAACATCTGCTACTGTTTTTTGCATTACCACCCCCAGCCGGACATTTTATTCTTTTGTATTATAGACTAAGAAAAACAAAGTAAAAGAACATTTTTGTCAAAGATCAATGGTTCAGCAAGCTCTTTTATACACTATACTGGATGTTAAGAACTGTATAACATGTAAATTGACAAATATTAGACAACACTGCAGTTTAACCCTTAAAACCATTAAGAAAAAGTGCTTAGCAGTCTTCTCAGACAAGATAATGAGCAAGGTAAATCCATTCAAATTCCACAAGCATTGAACCATTTTTTCCCCAAAATGTTCAAAATTGACGAGCTAAAGCCAATTACAAAGGCAAAAGGTGCGAAATCCAATATTCTGGCTGTAAATCGTCAGTGTGAAAAAGAAACTCACTTAATGTCTTCTACAACGGAATGCATACAAATCATTTTATGGCTGTGCATGACGGCACACGTTCAGCAACACCTGGTGCTGCTTGTGGTTAAATTCTCTCACTTATACTGTCTGCAGTTACTGTGACATGGACAGCGCAGAGCACATTCAGGAATCCAAACATTCCGGCATTAATTCCTCATTCATGTGACCTTTCGTATTGCACGGCTGCTTTTAAGGACAGATTCATGAAGAGGCCACAACCCTACCCGCCCCCACCCCCCAAAATACAACAAACTTATGCCGGTCAAAATAAAATGGGTCCTAGTTTTCCTCAACAGACTGATCTTTATAATTCACAATTGCCTAGGATTCCAAGAAAAAAAAAAAGTAAAGCTGACAGTTTTTTCCTGTCACAATGTTACTGTCTGCCCCATGTTCATTGCAAAATAAATGGCAGTGAGTTATGGTGATTTGCTATAGTATTTCAGCATACTAATGTGCATGGAATCTGACACTTGGAAAACACAGTTAACACAGGGACTCCTACACTGATCCTATAATACTGTATATCACATTATAATTAGAATGGTGTTAACATGATTGATGCAAAGTGTGTACTGCTCCAAGCAGGTTAAACCTAAAATAAAATCAGATTTAGTTTCTAAATGTGACAGTAGAACATTATAGTAATCTGCTCAGTTTTTACATTACATATCTGCTCATATTTTCCGAGTTAAGAAAACACTACTTTATTTTTTTCTTGAAACTGCAATGCAATTATCATCCTCACAGCAGGAAATGCATTAATTTCTCGACAACATATTGGCCTTTATTATAATTTTCTACAATATACCAAAGCGCAGTTTTTACATCATTTTTGCTATCAATTCTTGCTTTTATTGGCAGAGCTTTTAAAATATACTCTGAAAACAATCAGTGATGACCACAATTAAAAGAATTATGAACTCCTAAAACAGCTAGGAGGAC